TGTTCAGCGCCGCTTCATGAAGTCCAGGTTCAGCCACGTCTTGAGGTGCAGCCAGGACTACGCCCACAGGATGATTTTGGTGTATATGAGGTGAATTGGTGTATTTGAGGTGAATGGTTGAGGTGAACCAGCTCGTTGTTCAGGTCTGGATTTAGTATGGTGAGTTGTGGCCGACTCTAGTTTGATTGTTAGAGCGGGTTGCCACCTTTGAAGTTAACGCAAGTCATGGCCGCCCCAGAAGTTCATTCTCTTGCAAGGCGCGTCCAGCCAGGACCACGTCCAGAGACAACTTCGGTCCAGCCAGGACCACTCCATAGACTACTTTGGTGTATATGAGGAAGTCTTCAACGCACCCCGTTTGCTTATAAACAGTCATAGTCATACGAGACCTAAACTTAAGGAGTAGCTTTGTTGTTCAGGTCTGACTTTAGTCCAGTGAGGATCAAGCCCATAGATAATGTCAGTGTATACAAGTGGAGTCGTTCAGAATGTCAAAAACCCCGTTGCCATCTCTACTTGTAGTTCCTGATGAACAGTTGTATGCAGAGGATGTTGTTAAGCGCCGGAAGCGTGTCAACACAACTGTGCTTCTACAGCCATACATTGACCAGTTTGTCAGATGGATCGGGTCTCAGGGGTGGTGTCATGTCATCGTTGGCAGTCAGAGCATGCTGCGTGCCATCAAGAATGATTCCCAGGCCTTTGCATCTGAGTTGGAGTACAGTGCCTTTGAGCCTGCCGATTGGGACATGTGGGTATTGGTGAACAGCGAGCAAGCAGCAATGCATGTGTCCACTCTGCTTTGCAAATACTTTAAAGACGTGCTACTCGACAGTTTGCGCATGAACAAAGAGATCCGAAGGAAGCGAGTGTACACAGTGGTGAAAGCTAGCGACTGTGCTGTGCCCATGGTCGTAACAGAAACACCGTACCCAGCACGCCTGACCGGGATAGCGCTGGGAGAACGGAGTAAGTCATACATTGATGTGCAAATTATGAATCTGGGAGATGCTTTCGTGGCCAGTCGATTCCAAAACACCTACGTTCTGAGGGATGCACCGTATCTCAATCTCGAGGGATGTGTGACGTTCCTTGAACTCATTGAATCGAAGCGAAAAGAGAAAAAGTACAACATTGATGAGATACGCAGACGAGTGATTGATGCACATTTGGAGCGACAGCTCGGTGGCAAGAAGGCTGCAACGTGGTATGAGGGCCTCGCAAGATCATTCATCCAAGTCTTTGACGGTACAGAATTCGCACACAGACACAAGGGTGTTATCGGGCGTTTGCTCCTGCGTGCGCTCAATCACCTCCCAGGCGGTGCAGCAGCGGTAGAGATGTGTGAGTCACAGCTGATCGAGGCGTTGCGGCCATGTATAAACGCAACGATACAGGCACTTGACGAGCGGCTCAGTCAAGCATCCATGGGGCGCATATTCGTGACAGGTGGGGATGCAATGAGGCGCTTCGACAGCGGGATCCGCGTCTCAAAAGACATCGACACAAAGATATATGTGCCTCCAGGGCAGCACTTGGATGATGTGGTCAGCTTGGCTACCGAACTGGTCGGGAAGGCAGTCACTATCATGGTGAAAGAGCGGGCTCAATTACTGCCACGCAACATCGAAAGGGTCATCAATGGCACGCCCGTGGGCTTCATGTACAGGATTCGTGACGATGATAATCTGCAGTTCAGGCTGCGCTACCTGCCTAAGGAGCCTAACGGCCGCCCGCGGCTAGTAAGCATCAATTACAGGATGAAAGTGAGGGTGGGGAGCCTCGAATTCAACCAAAACATCCCAGTACTGGACGTGGTCGTTCAGAGGGCACCGAAATCAACGGATCCGCGCGAGGCCAGCACCAAGCCCCCAATTGCGGGGCTACCATGGCTCGTTGACGACATCAAGCACACATGGCAGTCGAGCTCGAGGGCAAAGCAGCGCGTGTGGGCAGGCAAGCGAGCTAAGAATCTGGATAGACTTCAGGAGCTACAAAGGAGACTAGACGCTGGCCGTTCAGCAAGAGAGGGCAATCTCGGACGGGTTAATATGGGGGTCTTGGAGTATCTACGAGACAGTTCCAAAGCGCCTCTGATTCTT